AACAGCAGCAGCAACAGCAGCAGCAACAGCAGCAGCAACAGCAGCAGCAACAGCAGCAAAAACAACAAGAGCAATATAGAGATACAACAGTAACCTCTCATCAAGAGGGTCCAAATACATATGAATATTCAGGTGTACATGCAGGTGGGCCCCCTCAATCTTCTTCTTCTTCTTCTTCTTCTTCTTGTCAACAAAAGGAACAAGAACATAAGAATAAGAAGAGAGAGGGCCCGTCATGTTTATATGATGGGGCCCCTAAAGATAAGGATAATGAGGAGGGCCCCCAAAAATCGGAGGGCCCCCTCCCGTCCCCAGTACCCTCATTAAATATAAATGGTACAACAAAACCAGCATCTAGAACTACAGCAATAAGCCAATCATTTTGTTCCCCTTCCTCTCCTGCACCATCAGGGACAGGAGGAGGAGGAGGAGGAGGAGGAGGAGTAAATTCATCACCATTATTAGATATATATGAAGAATTAGACCATTTAAATTCAGTTCGTCGAGCATTTCGATTATACGAAATTAATTCCCATTTAGAAATTCAAAGAATTCAAATTTATTTAACACAGCACCTACAGAAGGAGGACTTAGTCTTATTAATGGGTAAAGGGAAGAATAATTATATACAACAATATACACATTTATTTAATTATAATAATAATAATAATAATAATAATAATTATAATTATTGTTATTATAATTCTTCTGTTAATTATAAGGATCATAATCAATATAATAATTATTGTATTAATCATCAAGAAATACAAGAAGAAGAAAAAAAAGAAGAAAAAAAAAAAAAAGAAGAAAAAAAAGAACAAGAAGAAGAATATGATTATAATTATTATATACAAGATAAAATAAATAAAATAAAAGATGCTGTTGCTGTTAATCAACAATTTATTGATTTAATGCTTCTTGCTGCTGCATCTGTAGGTCCATGTACACCTAAAGATGAACAATCAGATATAGATATACAGCAGCAGCAGCAACAGCAGCAGCAGCAAGTGCAACAGCAGCAGCAGCAAATGCAGCAACAGCAGCAGCAGCAACAGGGAGAGGGAGATGAGATAGCAATAAGGGAAGAACAACAAATGCAGCAGCAGCAAATGCAGCAACAGAGACATCAACAAAATAAACAAGGTAAAGGAGGGCATGCAACATCAACAAAGAAAAGGAGAAGGAAAAAGATGCAGCAACAACAAAAACATCAGCAACAACAGCAACAACAGCAACAGCAACAGCAACAGCAACAACAGCAGCAACAATTGCAGCAGCAACAGCAATTGCTGCAGCAGCAACTCCAGCAGCAATATGGATATGATATGAGTCCAGAGAATCGTCGTTTGCTGCTCGAGGCAGAACAAGAAGATTCAGAAAAACTTACAAGAAATCTTAGCAAGGTACTTGCTGCTGCTGCTGCTGCTGCTGCTGCTGCTGCTGTTTGCTGCTGCTGCTGCTGTTGGAGGCTGAGCAGATGTCTGTGTAGGTGTTGCTTTTGCTGTTGGTACTGTTGCTGTGCTGTTGCGGCAGTGTTCTCTTCATACTGCTGCTGTTGCTGCTGCTGCTGCTGCTGTTGCTGCTGCTGCAGGTGCGCAGCACATTACGTCAATTTGTCCGTGATTGGGCAGAAGAAGGAGCAGAAGAAAGAGAAGCAGCTTATGGTCCTCTTCTTAGGGCATTAGATGAGCATCTACCTATTATACCTGGACAAGATCCACCAAGGTTAGGGTTTACGAGGGTTTAGGAGGGTTTAGGAGGGTTTAGGAGGGTTTAGGGTTTAGGAGGGTTTAGGGGTTTAAGAGAGGGTTTAGGGTTTAGGGTTTAGGGAATCTTACATAACGTATAGAAGAAGAGGGAGAGGGAGAGAGAAAGAGCAGGGTTGTTGTATAGAGGGGAGAGTTAGCTGCACAATTGTGACATGCGTATTCTAGGGTTTAGGGTTTAGGGTTTAGGGTTTAGGGTTTAGGGTTTGTTTTTTAGGGTTTTATGTCCTGGTTCGGGTTTGGGTCGTTTACCATTTGAGGTAATGAGGAAAGGTTATGCATGCCAAGGAAATGAATTCTCTTACTTTATGCTTATAGGTAACCCTAAACCCTAAACCCTAAACCCTAAACCCTAAACCCTAAACCCTTGATAAACCCTAAACCCTAGATAAACCCTAAACCCTAGAAAACTTTGGTGGTGATGGTTATAGTTCCCTTTAGTTGCAGTTCCTATTATGACTATATATTCATGCTGCTTCTCCTGCTGTTGCTGCTGCTGCTGCTGCTGCTGCTGCTGCTGCTGCTGTTTAGGGTCTGATTTTTTGTTGAATTCTCGTCTAACCCCCAAGTCGTTGCCAATTCAGCCGTACTGTCTATCCACATCCAATCGGTACATTTTTGCCTCCTTTTTGTCTCCTTTTTGTCTCCTTTCTGTCTCCTTTTTGTCTTCTTTTCTCTCTTTCCTTAATTGTCTCCTTTTTGTCTCCTTTTTGTCTCCTTTTTGTCTCCTTTTTGTCTCCTTTTTGTCTCCTTTTTGTCTCCTTTTCTCTCTTTCCTTAATTGTCTCCTTTTTGTTTCCTTTTTGTCTCCTTTTCTCTCTTTCCTTAATTGTCTCCTTATTGTCTCCTTTTTGTCTCCTTTTTGTCTCCTTTGTGTCTCCTTTTTGTCTCCTTTTTGTCTCCTTTTTGTCTCCTTTTTGTCTCCTTTTCTCTCTTTCCTTAATTGTCTACTTTGTGTCTCCTTTTTGTCTCCCTTTTGGCTCCTTTTTGTCTCCTTTTTGTCTCCTTTCTGTCTCCTTTTTGTCTCCTTTTTGTTTCCTTGTTGTCTCCCTTGTTGTTTCCTTTTTTGTCCCCTTTTCCCTTGATTATCTGTAATAATTTTGTTAATTGTCTCCTTTTTTTTGTCTCCTTTTTTGTCTCCTTTTTTGTCTCCTTAGTCGTTGTCAAGGAGACCATCTAGATGTTATATGGATCCCTGACGTTGCGCCTAGCGAACACGTTGGGCCTTCTGCTGATTTCTCTATGTGTGCAGGAGAATTTGTTGAGGTAAGGGTTTAGGGTTTAGGGTTTAGGGTTTAGGGTTTAGGGTTTAGGGTTTAGGGTTTAGGGTTTTTTTATTCCTTATACAGTTTGTATTCTTGAATTCACATTTTAGGGTTTATATATTAGGGTTTATATATTAGGGTTGTTTAGGGTTTACATATTTTACATTTTAGGGTTTACAAATTAGGGTTTAGGGTTTTTAGGGTTTAGGGTTTAGGAATTTTAGGGTTTTTAGGGTTTTTAGGGTTTTTAGGGTTTTTAGGGTTTAGGGTTTAGGGTTTATGAGGGTTTATGAATGATTGTTCAGGTGTATGGTAGTCCTTCAACAACTCTTCCTGCATCTTCTCGTATATTTGATGGTGTATTAACATCTTTCTTCTTAGATACAGCACATAATGTACTATTATATATAAAAACAATAGCTAAAATAACAAGAAAAGGAGGTTTATGGGCAAATGTTGGTCCTCTTCTTTATCATTATGCAGAAATGCCACATGAAGTTAGTCTTGAATTCTCTGCTGAAGAAATTCTTGCAGGTATACCCTAAACCCTAAACCCTAAACACTAAACCCTAAACCCTAAACCCTAAATAGCAAACACACCAACCTAACCCTAAACACTCCAAATGCATATTTAGTCATAGGGTTTACAACAAACCCTAAAATATGACGGGTAAGCTACACGCACATCCTCGTCTCTTCCGGGGGAAGCTTTTTAGGGTTTAGGGTTTAGGGTTTTTAGGGTTTAGGGTTTAGGGGTTTTAGGGTTTAGGGTTTAGGGTTTGGGGTTTACATGCAGTTATACAGAATTGGTTTACGTTGGTAAAAGTTGAATGGCGGGATTGCTACTACACATCTAACCGCAAATCGATGATGCAGGTGAGCACAAACCCTAAACCCTAATTAAACCCTAAACCCTAATTAAACCCTAAACCCTAATCAAACCCTAAACTTTGTAATGGACAGCTTAAGCCCTAAGCAAACCCCTCATTATATACACACACTAAACCCTCGTTGTCCCTAGTAAACCCTCGTTGTAAACCCTAAACCCTCGTTGTAAACAGTAAACCCTCATTATAAACCCTAAACCCTCATTATAAACCCTAAACCCTCGTTGTAAACCCTAAACCCTTTTGTGTACAGGTGCAATATCACTGTCTGCACTTCGTCGCCATTCGCAACGAAGAGCCCGCGCCAGAGATAACAACTGGCAATTGCGACTAAACCCTAAACCCTAAACCCTAAACCCTTGCCGCACGATAGCCTCCTCCCTTATAATGAGTAGGTATCTGCAGTAGTGCAGTATGGGTCTCATAAGAGAGCCTCTGCAAACCCTCCCTCTACACACAGCAGCAGAAGCAGCAGCAGCAGCAGCAGCAGCAGCAGGTGCTGCCGCTGCTGTTGCTGCTGCTATTGTTGCTGCAAAAGGAGCAGCATGAATGATAAAGGCAGCGTTGAAAGCAACAGCAGCAGAAACAACAACAGCAGCAGCAGCAGCAGCAGCAAGAGCACCAGTAGCAAAAAGGCTACACTGCTGCTGTTGCTGTTGCTGCTGCTGCTACCGTTGGTGTACAGTAGTTTATTGTGTGTAAATAGAGGAAACCCTAAACCCTAAATTAGGGTTTAGAGGGGGCAATCAGCCTGCCGAGGTGTTTTGTTTAAAATAATGCATTTAACGAACTCTTGAGGGTTTAGGGTTTTATCTGTGCAGACGAATCTGTTGCTGTTGCTGCTGCCTCTGCTGCTGCTGCTGCTGAGCAGCAGCAGCAGCAGCAGCAATGTTTGCTGCTGTAGTTGCTTTCTTCCACAAGTTCTGCTAACACTGATACTGCCCTACTGGCGGGTGACTTCCTAGGGTTTAGGGTTTGGAGATTAGGGTTTAGGGTTTAGGGTTTAGGCTACAATACAGGAAATGCCTAATTATATCTCTTAGTTAATTTATTTTGCTGCAGAAGACTCACAAATATTATATAAAATGTTTAATGTCTTCTGCTGCTGCAGCAGCAGCAGCAGAAATAGCAGCAGCAGCTACAGTAGCGGCGGCGGCGGCAGCAGCAGCAGCAGCAGCAGCAGCCGTGTGCTGCTGCTCGGTGTCGCTCACTGCTTACTGCTCTTAATTAAATAAATAAAACTAAATAAATAAGACATATTTATTACTTTTAATTATTTTGTTTCCTTCTATCTGTATATTTAGCTGCCTATACACCCCAAAGCACACCGCTCAGTCGTGTGTAGCAAGACGGCTAGGGTTTAGGGTTTAGGGTTTTGCTTTGGCGTTGTAGGGTTTAGGGTTTTGCTTTATTTCTTAACAGTTGAAGTTAAAACCCTCATTACTTCGTCCAAGCACTCACAGCAGCAGCAGCAGCAGCAATAACAACAGCAGTAGCAACACAAAGAGCAGCAGCGGCAGCAGCAGCTGCAGCAGCAACAGCACCAACAGCAACAACAGCAGCACACCAGAACAAGGCATGTCGTCTCCACCAACCAGTAGCAAAACCCCATTGGGGGCCTCCTCTTCGTCTGGGTCCCCGTCTTCCTTAGGGGCCCCCTATTCGATGGGGGGCCCCTCTTCCTTGGGGGCCCCCTTTCTATCCCCTACCTTTAAAGAAATGGCACGACTTCTTCGTCTAAAGGGAGAGGGGGCCCTTGAGGTGTACATACACTGCAAGATGATAGATCTTGGATTTATTCCTTGTTATGAGGAAGATACAGCAGCAGCAGCAAAAACAACAACAACAGCAGCAACAACAGCAGCAACAGCAGCAGCAGCAACAGGAAGAACAGGAGGATTAATATGCCTACCTGATGGTACAATTGCTAGGGTTTTGTATATAAAAGGAGAAAGAAAAGAAAGTAATGGATGGACATGTACATACACTAGACCTGAATGGCGTCTAGAATCTGCTGCAGCAGCAGCAGCAGCAGCTGCTGCTGCTGCGGATGCTGGGAAGCAACAGCAGCAACAGCAACAGCAACAGCAGCAACAGCAGCAGGCAGCAGCAAAACGGCTGCGACTAAGCTTAGGGAAAGTTGGGGGACAAACGGTGCTGCGTGTTGGGGAAGAGAGCAGCAGCAGCAGCAGCAGCAGCAGCAGCAGCACTGGTGCTGTGCTTCAAGAAATCCCAGATGGCATTGCTGCAGCAGCAGCAGCAGCAGCAGAAGCAGCAGCAGCAGATGCTGAAGGGGGGTTTCTTCAATCCGACCTCGAGAAACTGCAGGTAAGTCGAGGGTTTAGGGTTTAGGGTTTAGGGTTTAGGGTTTAGTAGAGGGTTTCTACGACTTGTCAGCAGCAGCTGCGTTTGCTGCTTCTGTGCTGCTGTTGCTGCATTGAGATATACTTTGCTGCTGCTGCTGCTGCTGCTGCTGCTTTTGCGGTTGCTGCAGCCTTTGGATACTCTGCTGCACCAACTGTGGACTCCTGCTGCTGGGGGGCCCCCTCAAGGGGGGGCCCCTCAAGACAGGGGCACTCAAGAGGGGCCCCCAGGGGCCCCATGCAAACCCTGTCCTGCTACTAAAGTAAGTTGGTGCTGCATTAACTTGGGGCTTTGCATGCAGCGCAGCAGCAGATGCTGCAGGACGTGCATTCATGCACGCCGTGCTGCTGCTGTTGCTGTTGCTGCTGCTACTGATGTTGCTGCTGCTGCTGCTGCTGCTGCTTGTCTCTTGCAGGAGGGCCCACCCGAGGGTCCAACGCTTTCTCAGGGCCCCCCCTCTGGATCTGCTGGTGCTGGGGGCCCCTTACCTTCTGTAGGTGCTGACGACTTGAACCCTCCTGTGGGCCCCCCCAACCTTGGGGGCCCCCCTGGGGGCCCCTGGGGCCTAGGGGGTTCAGGAGGGTCCTTGGTGGGCCCCTCGCATCCTTTATTTGGCATGCAAGGAGATAATAACAGGGAGTAAGCAAACCCTAAACCCTAAACCCTAGACTGTAAGAGGGTTTGGTGCAGCAACCCGCCGTAAACAGCAGCAGCAGCAGCAACAACAACAGAAGCAGCAGCAGCACCAGCAAGTATATATATGTGTATGTTATCTGTCCTGCTGCAGCTTTAGGGGGGGGCCCCCGCTACCCCCAGGGGCCCGTTATGACCCTATGGGGCCCCTAGGCACAGACCCTGCTCCTGACCATACCCCTTTCCTTCCTTATGAAACTCCGGGGGGCCCCGGGGTCCCAGGGGCCCCTGGGGCCCCTGGGGTCCCCAGGAACAGGGGGCCCCCCTTCGGTGGGGGGCCCTCCCTCGGGCCTTTTGGGGGAGGAGGAGGCCTAGGAGGTGGCGGTTTCTTCATGTGAAGGAGGGTTTAGGGTTTAGGGTTTAGGGTTTGGCTGCTGGAGGTGCAGCAGATATTAGGGTTTAGGCAACAAAATAAAAGACAAGTGTTTACTAATTTTTTTCCCTATACAATTAAATTATTTTTATTTATTTATTTATTTATTTATTTATTTATTTATTTATTTTATTTATATTTATAAATATATTA